TGTGTGTGTGTGTGTGTGTGTGTGTGTGTGTGTGTAAGTCAGAAGACACCTGTGAAAGTCAATTCTCTCCTTCCACCATGTGGGTCCTGGGAATCAAACTCAGGTTGTCAAGCTTGGTGACAAGCACCTTCACCTGCTGAGCCACCTCACCAGCTTGTTGGCAGACTTTTGAAATAGAATTTTCACTCTATCTTTTTGTACCTTTTGAATCTAATAACATTGGAAATTACTGTTCAATGATATTTCTTTTACTTTGGATTAAATAAAAACACAGTAAGCCACTTCCCCAAGTCCATCCCTCTTTCTGCAGGCTTTAGTTAATAAGAAGCCTCTTTTACTCTGTTCATCTTCTCAATGCCCTGAAGTGAGGCTGCCCCGCATTTACTGTTGCACAGAAACAAGCCTCTCGCTTCAACTATGACACTCTCCCTCCTCCCTCCCCCTCCTCCTCAGTTCATCACCAAAACAGATAGACTACATAAAAGAGTCAAAGGTGGAGGAGGCCTGTGGTCTCGGAAGAGCCCCATCTGAGGGAAATACAGCTTGACACACTAACAAATATAAGACAGTGGGCAAGCATTCCTGCAAAGATATGTCAACATGTGACAGAGGGAGGCCATACCACATAGGACAAATTCTCTACCACAGAACAAATACAAGACAACTTGAAAGCAACAGCTGAGCTGGGTTTTTTTTTTTTTTTTTTTTTTTGTCTTTTTGAAGCAGGGTCTCCCTATAGCCCCAGCTGTCCTGGAACTCACTATGTAGATCAGGCTGGCCTTGAACTCACAGAGATCCGCCTGCCTCTGTCTCCCAAGCGCTGGGACTACAGGCATGCGCCACCACACCACATGGCTTGAGCTGGGTCTTTTAAATAATGAGTAGAAATCTTCTTAACTCTACAGTTTCATTTTTCTAAGTTCTCATCAGGCCCACACCTGTACCCCTGTGCCCCACTGACCACCTTTGCTTCTCGACCCCACACTCCCTCACAGACTGCTCCTCCACAGCCTCTTTCTTCTCAATTTTCTTCCTCTCACATTCTAATAACCTGCTCTGTTCCTCTTCCTAGTTTCCATCCAACCACAGCATCAATTACCTCCTTACTCAGCTGATTCTACCTTTGAAACATCAGTCCTAAGGCCCACTGAACAGATTTCAGCCCCAAACCACCTCTCTAATGTTGAGCTCCCCTTTCCATCCCTCCAAACCAGTGCTCTCTCTTGCTTTCCGATGTCTCATTCCTTCCACAGTCTGCAGAGCCCACTGGGTCCACGCACTATATGAGGCACTCGAGTGACTAAGATGAGCAAGATGCCATCCCTATACACAGGGCCTCAGTGATATCTCTCTCTTCCCATGCCTAGTCCTCCTTGTATACATCCATGGCTGTGTCCCTGACCCCAGCTATAGCCCTGCAATGACTTCCCAGAGGATGTCCCTCTCTCCTAGACATCCTACACTCTTCCAGAGATATTTACTCCCACTGCACAGCATTCCTAGTCCCCTGTCTGCTCAGAGAACTCCATGAGGTCTCCAATACCTTATCTAAGCATCTCAAACTACTGTTTCCAACTTAAGATTAGAGACTCTGCATATAACTTGTGCCTCAGTTTGACCCTGCCTGTGGCTTTGATCACATCAGTGATTCCTTCTGCCTAATATAACCTCTCCTGCCCTCTCTACCTACTCCAAGGCAAGCTCCTTTTGGCATATACCTGGGATCCCCTTGACTGCCTGACAGCATTAACTTCTCACATGTTTTAATCTGCACAGCGTTTCCCTTTTATATACTTGACACATGTGGTCACAGTGCATAAAGGTCCTTTACATCAGACTGTCTCTAGAAGGTGAACTAATTACTACCTGTAAATAAGTGCATACATGGGACTCTCCAAACACTGGTGGGCATCCCCTAACTGTTCCTAGGGAGACTTGCTCTGTCACCAGATTCTCACTGAATGGCCTTCATACAAGTCTGCAAAGGAGAACTTACTCTTTAGGGTCAAAGAGCTTACTACATCTTTCTGTATACTATCCTAACTGACTCTTGCATATTCTTACTGTTAATACTGAGTCTTTCTCCTAGTCTCCCATCTACAGGCTAAAATAACCCAAGTTTAAGACTCATCTTTTCCACTAGGCATGGTGGCACACACCTTTAGTCCCAGCACTTGGGAGGCAGAGGCAGGCAGAGCTCTGTGTTCAAAGCCAGCCTGGCTTACATAGTGAGGTCCAGGCCAGCTGGGTCTAAGACTTGCCTTTTCTAATTCAACACCCAGGAAACCCCTCTGTCATACTGCCTATGTCAAGCCCCAACACACTCACGTTCAGGGATGGAAGCATTGTGAAGGCTGTTCCCTGAAAGCCGGGCTTGAAAGGCAGAACTGAAGAAGCCATCACCAGGACCACTGTGGGGAAAGGAGAAGCAGAAGACTGTCAAGTTAATGGAGTGAAAACTGCCATTTCCCAGAGCCGTCAGTTAGTCTGAAAAAAGGAGAATCAGAGTGGCCAGGTGGTTTCATGAGACAGACATGCATGATAGAGTCTGAGAAACTATCAAATCTCACCTCAGTCACTTACCAGGAGGGTGACTTGGGCAAGGTTCCTAACCTTGTTTAAACTAAGTTCTTCATTTATAAATAGGGGATTTTAAAAAGCCAAAATAATTCACAAATGATGACAGAAAAATGAGATAATGTACACAACTTGCTAAATCCAGGTCCTGGCACATAGCAGCTACTCATTAAATGAGAGCTGTTGCTGTTGGTGTACTTGTTATCAGTACCTCTGGCCATACAGCACACCCTGTATCCATCCTTGCAAAAAGCAAAGAACTCTGATTAGCAGTAAGGGGCATTTTGGTATTAGGAAATTCTTCACCTCCTTCAAGTCAGTGTGCTGGTCTTAAGAGATAAAGAAGAGAGAACAAAAGGCAAGGAAAGCAGGAGAGAGTTCCCCACTTCATCCTAATCTCAGGCATAGGAAATCACATGGCCTACCCACAGGCTTAGGAGTCAGAGAAAGACCAGAAGCGAGAGGTGGGAAAGGCTCTGGCTGTACCTTTTATTCAGCACCATGATATGAACAGCAAAAATGGTCACATAGAGGAGCAGAGGCAGCACTATGAGGCACAGGATGCGAGCAGTCAGGTGCTTCCCCACAGTCACCTGCAAAGAGAAGCCAGCACAGGCAGAGGCAATATGAAGCCTCATTGATCTTATGGAATACATCACCAAGAAAATGGCCCACCAGAAAGAATAGTTACAGAAACCCTACACCTTTCTGTAACAGCCCCCAACACACACACACACACACACACACACACACACACACACACACACACACACACACACACACACACAGAGGAGGGGATTAACTTGGGCCAGTTCTCTGCTGCTTCTCCAGGCTCCAAACCCAGGACTATGGACATGGTATGACTGCTGCTCACCAGTGCCCTCCAGTCTCACTGAACTTCCTGCAGTTTCCCAGTACACCCCCTACTGACTGTGTCAGCCCCGTATCATATAGCCAACTGTTCCCAGCCTTAACCTCAGGCCTCAGCTTCTTCCCAGGGGCGTCCCTGGGATACCTGAGCCTGGGCCAGTGCCTCCTCTCTGCTCTCACAGCACCTGTTAAAAGGACTTTAATACCCCCTCCCACTCCCTCTCCTCCTCTCCCCACAACCTCTCCATGTACTCCAGAGGGCAGGGATCATGCTGTATTCACGTATATTCCCAACATTTTGCACTTAGTGAATGGTCCCCATATATTTTCTGAATGAATAAATACTTTGGGAATTTAGTAGTTGAGGCCTGGAGCCAGCCTACCCCAGGCTTGAGTCATAGGTCTCTCTCTTCCTACTTGTAATACCTACAGAACCTTGGGAAAGTTGTTACCACTCTAGATCTCAACTTCCTCATTTGTAAAATCAGGGCAATAACCACCCACCTCATAGGACTGTCAGATGGGTAAATGAGATAATGAAGGCAAACCATTTTGCACAGCACCTGGCACTGAATCAGCCCTTGATTAATAATATCATAATAAACCTAACAGCCTTTACTGGCTTTCAAATGTGGAAACCCTGGGTCAAGAAAGGAAATGTGAGTTCAGAAGTTCAGAATCATCCTACTCCTTTGACCTATAAGCCCTTGTGCCCACAGTGGACTTGGCATGAGTCCAGCAGGACAGAATCCCCTGGCTGGATAGTTTGTAGAACATTTAAAAGAAATTACAGGGGGAAAAAAAGAGAAAGAACTGCAAGATTGTTGTTCCATTTACTCCCTTTATACCTCGCCAGCCCCTCATTTCCTGATATCCTGCTATCTACAGAGGACAGCTGAGTCCAGCCCAGCCAGGGTCCACAACGCAGAACACAGCTACTCCCTCCACCTATGGCAGAGGCAGAGAAAGGTTCCTGCTGAGTAGCACTAGAAACAAAGACATTTCCACAAGCACTTGAGTTCTTACCAGTGAAAGACTGAGGTCTCCAAACAAGTGCCAGAGGTCTGAAATGGTGTTCAACCCCACTTGTAGGATGATAAAGAGGCCAACAAACTTGACCCCTAAAGCACCAGCGAGACTGATGCCCGTCAGGCTGAGCCAGAACCACCATGGGGCAGAGAAAGGCCTGGAAACCAATGGAACACAAAGTTCAGTTTGGCAGCTAGGACCAAACTGGAAATGAAGAACAGCAGTAGGACTCAGAGGGGGTGTGCTGTGCCCAGGGCCTTGAGGGTCCTTAACACTCCATGGCATGATTCCATGGAGGATGTGCTCTGTGAGGGCCCTGAAACTACAGACAGGCTAGTGGAAGAGGGACTAGCATATTGTTCTGGAGATAGGCTATGCACAGGGCTTCCTACATAGGAGACAAGGCGGGCAAAAGGAAAAGGAAAACCAGAAAAGTCCTCTGGATGCAATCGGACTTCTCCTTTGTATCTCCTCTGGAGCTGCCCAAGCCAGCATTTACCGAATGCTCACTATGCATCAGGCACCATTCCAAGGACTATGCATAGATGATCTCTTCTAACCCTCATCACACCCCATGAGGTAGAGCCTATTACCCTCTTTTTTTTTTTAAGTTTTTATTTATTATTTTTACTTTATGTGTATGTGTGTATTGCCTGCATGTAGGTAAGTGCACCCGTGTATTACCCTCTTTTTACAGACAAGAAAATTGAGGCACAATGAGGCACACTCAGCAGGTGATGGAGACAGCTCTAAGCAAGGTCAATGTTCCTAATCAGTTTGCGGTATCAACAGCACACAGCAACACCACAGCCAATTTCCTGGTGATCTGGCTGCTTTCCCTGCTGGAATGAATGCTCCTTAAAGTTCTGTTCCTCTGTCCCTCTAGCTCCTAGCATGGTACCTGGTACCATGAAATGGCAGATGGGGCTGGAGATGTAGCTCCCTGACAGAGGCTTGTCAAGCATGTATGAGGTCCTGAGTTCAATCCCCAGCACCAAAAAAGAAAGAAAAAACAAAAAGCAAACAAACAAACAACAACAACAACAAAAAAGCAAAAACCCACACACAAAAAAACAAAAAAATGGATGTAGAAGTAGAAGAACATAATCCCTGTGATGGCTAATCCTGGGTGTCAACTTGACTGGATCTGGGATTAACTAAAATGAGAGAGATCTTCTTGATTGGATCATCTGAAGCTGGAAGACACACCCTAAATGTGGGTGTTACCTTCTGATGGCAGACAGTATAAAAGGCCATGGCAGAGGAGAATGCCTGGCTTCTTGCTGCTTGCCTTCTCTCTCGCTGGTGAGTTCATCTTGCTGCTGTAGACTGAAGACTAGCTGATCTTTTGGAATTCATCAGACCTTCAGCGCCAGATTGGGACTACTGAGACATCCAGCCTCGTGGACTGAGGGACTACGGATTCTCAGCCTCTCCAGTGCCATTGTTGGACTACTCAGACTCTATCCTGTGAGCTAAGCTGATAAATCTCTATACATATATATTCATTCTACCAGTTCTGTTTCTTTGGAGAACACTGACTAATACAATCCCTAAACAACAGTAAGCCAGTAGTCATTGGCTGGGAAAGGGTGGTGGATTAGCATAATATGGGTTAAAAAAAAAACAACTTTAAAACATTGCTTTTTGGAGCAGCCTAGGATATACAAGCTCTTTTGAATTTTGAATACAATAAATGACCTACTCTACTCTCAGAGGCAGGAGGACACCTAGAAAGTAGAAATATTCTGGAAGTGGAACAGACTCCAGATCAGCTTTAGAACTGACCAGGGACTGAAGAATCCTCTCGGCTGCTGTGGACCACTCAGCATAAGGTCACTATTGGATGCAAGCCTTGAGGCAGGGAGACAAATAGTTCTGAAGCAACATCTATACTGGTGTCTTCCCCTCTAGGATGAAGAACATGAAGGCCAACATGTCCCTGAGCTCCTAACCAGCACTGGTGCTGAGGGCAGCTTATATGTCATAGGTGAGGAGAAAGCACTAGGACCCTTCCATAATATCCATAAACTCCTACTACCCAATTGTACACCCATTTTAAACATAGTAACACCATTCTTGAAAAAGACAACTGACATTTTCTTAGTCTTAGGTAAAGCAAAACTAAAAGTACCTAAATAAAACATTTTAAAATCTATTTTTCACTCTCTAAAAAAAAATGAAAAGTATGTTTCTCTTATTAAACTCAGCATTCAGTAAGTAAATAAACTCAGCATTCAGCATGAAGGTAAGTCCTGCAGGCACCCACTCTGGCCCTGGTCCTGGCCACAATCAAACTTCTGGGGCCACCACAGCTTCTGACCCTTACCACCCAAAGATAGTATTTCTGACCTGTCAGCGCAGGAGTTGTACTTGACCATGCTCAGCATGGCAGCCATGATGAAGAACATCAGGATGGGGTCAAGGAGGATGTACTGGGACAGAGTGAGGCATCCCGTGTCTGAAAAACAAGAGCTCACTGGTCAAAATGCAGCATGACAAGAGATCTCTGAAAACCAAACACTCTAGCAGTAGGAAATGGTTCCCTTGGTGAATTGCACACAAGCTTCTGGCCACTCACAACTAGGTGGCTAAATCTACTAGGTGGGTGGATCCCAGTGAGGAGAAGAACTGAGCTTTGGGCATAACAGAGCCCATTGATGAGAAGTACTTATGCTGCCTCAGGGCCCTCAGTCCCAAAGAGACCCAGACCATTCACTCAGAGCAGTCCTGAGACTACTTTCTCATTTCTCCCATCAAAAAGAATCCACCTGATCACGGAAACTAAATTGTGTGATTGTTATCTTTGTATATAACATCTTTGTTAGGGGTTGATTTCCTATACAGGTACCAGTCAATATATTTTTTTTAAGACAGGGTCTCATTTTGTAGCCCTGGCTGGCCTGGGAACACCCTATACAGACCAGACTGGCCTCAAACTCACAGAGCTTTGCCTGTCTCTAGCTTCTGTCTCCTGAATGCTGAGATTAAAGGTGTGTACTACCACCCAGCCAGAATAATTCTTTTAAAGCTTAAGTTATATCATATTCCTGCTTAAACTTGCTAATGTCCTCTCATTTCACTCAAACTAATAATTTCTCATGATGGCTGTCAAATACTGCTCGGCCTCCCTACCTATCCAAACTCAAGTCCTGACATAATCCACTTTATTCACTGTACCCTTGCTGTACCAACCTTCTGTTGTTCCTTGAGACCAGTAAACCCTGCACCAGGATTACTACACAGGCTGTTCTCTCTACCTGAATACTCTTCCCTTAGAACTCTGATTGATCCTCTGTTTCACTCAGGCCTCTGCTCAACACTATCTGATCAGGGAGTTCTTCCCTGCCTACCCTACCTAAACTAGTATTGATCCCTACCACGCTTTATGTTTGACCTTGTGCTTACTGCTTAGGATTCCCTACTAGAGGGCCGAGAGATGGCTCAGCAGGTAGGGATGTTTGCTGCAAAGCCTGGTGACCTGAGCTCAATCCCTGGGATCCACTTGGTGGAAGGAGAGGACCAATTCCTACAAGTTGTCATCCTTACCCCAACATGTGTGCCATGACAAGCACACATGTGTCCACACACATACACACAACATAATTTAAATGCTTAAAAAAGATTTTAAAGGTGCTCTATTACAGACTTAAATAATGTACTTGCTTATTTGTCTGCCCTTCTACAGGGTACATTCCATGAGGGCAGTGTCTCATCAGTGTATCCTATGAGGCCTCAAAAAGTGGCCTGGCCCAGGATAGGTGCCTAGGAAATAGGTGCTAAATGAAAAAAGAAGTGACTGAATATGAATAACCAAAGAGAAAATTTAAAGTACAAGGAAAAAGCCACTGGTCCACTATAGAGAATCCTATAATCTTGCACAATATTTACCAAAGCAAAACAACATGCCTGTCTGAACAAACCCCCAAAATACCTACCTAGATTAGTCTGGACTTCTTTGAATGTAAAGCACCATAAGGTTATGTATTCACTTTGAGAAGACTAGAGCTAGCCACAAGACCAGCGTCTACAGTCACTCCTCATTTATCCACTGAGGATCCACAGAGTCTATTGCTATCTCCTGTTCTCAGCTACTTCTGGGCCATTGGCCTTCTCATCAATTGTAATAAGTTTAGGGAATGCAAACTACTTTCAATATTAATCTAAGAGAAGCAAAATTAAAATTGTAAGCTTCCCTTAAACATAAATACACACAAATATGCAAATCTTATTATCCATTCCAAGCTTAAATGCAAATAACTTAGAGAGAATCTGTTTCTAAGGATTACCTTTGCCAACTCCTCCAAGAGAGAATATAAAGGGGCCTGAGGAGATAGCATGAAGAACAGGGTTCATATCTCCAGAACCCACATAAAAGCTGGGCAGGGCTGGCAGCCACCTGTAATACCAACACTCAGGAGGCAGAGACAAGGGATCCCAGGGTAAGCTGGGTTGCTAACCTAGCTAGAATTAGTAAGTTCTGTTTCAGTGACTCTGTCTCATAAATAAAGTGGAGAGCAACTGAGGAAGACACCTGTCAATTTTAGACACACTTGTACATGTGCATACCCCCACATATGTCCACACACATACATACACATAAATACACCCACGTACGTAACACACATATACTCCCCTAAAAGAATACAAAGCCTTGCTACACAGAAGTATTTATACCTTTAAATATTACTAGTTAATGAGATCAGAAATGCATTCTATCCAATCCTGAAGTTAATTAAGAATTGGACCCATAGATGTGACCTTTGAATGTGTTGATTTCCAACCACCCTCATGGTATGGCAGTCCATTTCCCAAAACACAAGGGCTAGGACAACTTACCAAAGGTGAGAAGGGCAGCAGAGAGCAGTGCTGCTGGGAAGGACTTGGACAGATCCAGTACAATGAGGTAGGCAAAAGGGATCAGCCAGGAACCCAGGAAGGCACAGAACTATGGAAGGAAGAGAAGACTTGTCAAATAACTCCTGATGCGGAAAATCAGTATCTAAGATGGAGGACCCTGACCAAGGCATGACCTAGACGCTTTGAAATCAACCAGAGCAAAGAAGGGCAGTGTCAGTGAAGAGTCCCATCAAGCAGTAGGTATGTACAGGACATCCCTTAGAGCCTGAACTTGTACACAGGCATGAACCAGTGAGTTACCAGAAAGGCAAACAGGCTGCCACATCACTGACAGCTATCTGTCTCAGCTTCTGCACAATGGGAAAAGCCAGTTTGTGCCTCACAGGTTTACTATGAAGACTGAATGAGTTAAGTTTATTAACATAGAAAGTACTTAACCATCATCAATTTCTAGCATAAAACTACCGGTAAGAGACAGACTCCTTTGAGGAATCTTAGTATTTTAGGGAATTCTACTGTTATTCTTGTAAAATTTCCTCTGGCTCTTTTCTTTAGGCATACCAGGAACCACCCTTTAATCACATGATGTATTTTGATTTGAGAAAAAAGATTATTTGACATTCAGTAGCTGGAGGTTTTCGGTTTTGCTTTTTTAAAAATCAGCCCTCTTCCATCTCCCTTTTCTGACCATCAGCAGTAAAGAGACAAGGCCAGCATAATGGAAAAGTTTCCCATTTGCAAACAGTCACTTTGTAAACAGGAAGTAATGTGCCCAAGTGTGAAAGGGAATGAATGAAACTATTTTGTTCTTTTCAATTTCCATAGCAAGTCCATGTATTTGATTATGTATAATATGCAGTGTTCAAGAGTCCCTAGGAAGATAAAGAATCATTTAAGAATATGAACTTGAGGGGTGGAGACAGTCCTTGTTTCATATGGCATGACAGAACTGTGCAAACCACCCAATGATTAGCCCAAATAAGTGCACAGCCACCTCTCTAACTTGTGAATGTAATCTGCTCCAAGAGTTCCAAGCTGGAGGTTGGCTTCTACAGGTTTCATTAGGAAGTTCCTAGAGAGTTGAATGCTTATGCTCTGCCATGTTCCATTAAGCTGACATTGACAATTAGGATATGGAGGGACTGGAACAGGCATACAACCTCCCTTAAAGTAAGACTTACGTGTGCCCTACTTCCTTCATGTATAAAGAAGTAGGAACCTGGAGGCAATGTGGGGATGCCATAATCTTAAGGAAAGCTGGCAGAGGCAAGCAATCCCAAGTACAGGCTGACATCTCCCATGGGCTAGGCACAAGTGGCAGTATGTACATCTCCCAAGCAACCTCTGTGCTATCTGTGGCCTTTCCTTCCTGCCTTCCAAACTCACTCCAGATTTCTACACTTTATGGGGTGTCTAGCACCATTCCCCATTCCCCATTCCCCATTCCCCAGAAGTCCTTATCTACAGTGGCTGCTTCCAACTGTAATGTTTCCGCCTGGGTGCAGCTCTGGCTTAGGCAGTCTGTATAAGTCAGGAAGCCTTACTCCTCTCATCCCCATGTAGCTGTGATGCTCATACTTGTCCCCAGGCTTCTGGAACAAAAAGGTGCCATCATATCCACTCAGGTAGCCAGCAAGACCGATCAGCATCTGAGAAGAGAAGATGAACAGACAAAACCTTTAGGAAAAGGTTCACTGTCCCCGGTCCTTCCCTCTAGCTGCATTTAGAGCCTTCAGCTTCCCTTGACAAGGAGCCACAGAAGTGGCCAGTGTGACATATTCTCCTGCAGCTGTTGCAGAGTAAAGAACATTTTGTCTAAAGAGCTTGTTGCTAAACAAATCCTCTCTTGTGTCAAGGCTAAGTTCCTGGAAATAGTGCAGACTGAACACGTAGGGAAGCAAACACCCCATCCTTTGAAGGGCAGGGTCAGTGAGGGGCTCTCACATGCAGCCTTCTTTCATTTGTTATGAAATGAAACATGACAGCTCCTGGAGGAGGTCATGGGCAGACGCTGACTTCTTGGGAGATTGGTCTACTACTGAAAGGAACATGAGACTCCAAATCACAATGAAGAGGGAGGAAGGTGATCAAGAAGCCACATACCAGGAATAAGGAGGGAAAAAAATGACAAAGAGACTGCAAAATCAGAGGTATCTCCCCAGGGAGGAAGGGGGGAGAAAGTTTCCCTTTCTACAACATGGAACTTCAATGATACCTACTCTACCAGACTGCTCTGAGCTTCCACAAGTCAAGGAACAACTGCCTGTCTCTCTATTATTATACAAGCTCTCTCTCTATATCCTTTCCTACAGGAATCGTGTCCCCAGTCCATGCTCATATTTTCTGGACCAACCTGACACAGACCACTGCCCTCACTTCCCCTACCCATGCCTTTACCCCAAGGACTACTTGCTCCAGGCCCACTTCCTCACTTTGCCCCAACAAATTACTGCTGAAGATCAGTCTTCAACTAGGAATAAAGGCTTTAGTGAATGCCAGGACTAATCTATTAGTCTTCTCAGTGGGATTTGTTTTTATTTTTTATTTGAATTAGTTTTATTTAAGAATTTCCAACAATGACAACTCTTACAAAATCACCCAAGAACCTGGGTGTGGTTTAATCCCAGCACTCTAGAGGCAGGCAGGTCTCTGTGAGATTGAGGCCAGCCTGACCTACATAGTGAGTTCCAGGTCAGCTGGGGTTACAGAGAAACCCTGTCTCAAAAAGACCAAAAAAAAAATGCAAACCCACAGGGCTGGAGAGATGGCTCAGCAGATAAGGGCACAGACTGCTTTTGCAGAGAACCCAGGTTCAATTCCCAGCACTCACATAGTGGCTAACAACCATCCATAACTCCAGTTCCAGGGGAATCTGACGCCCTCTTCTGACCTCCGAGGGCACTGTGAGACAGGGGTACACTTACATACATGGAGGCAATACACTCATACACATAAAATAAAATAAATATTTAAAAATAAAAAGAGGGGCTAGAGAGATGGGTAAGCAGTTAAGAGCACTGACTGCTCTTGCAGAGGACCTGGGTTCGATTTCCAGCACCCACATGGTGTCTACGAACCGTCCTTAACTCCAGTTCCAAGGGAATCCGAAGCCCTCTTCTGACCTCTGCAGCACTGCATGACACAGGTGCACTCACATACATGCAGGTAATACACTCGTACACATAAAATAAAAATAATAAACAAAAGATTAAAAAAAAAATAAAAACACAGGCTGGAGAGATGGCTCAGCGGTTGTTCTTGCAGAAGACCCAGGTTCGAATCCCAGCACCCACATGGCAGCTAACAACTGTCTGTAACTCCAGTTCCAGGGGATCCCCTTCTGCAGGCATTGCATGACACAGGTGCACTTACCTACGTGTAGGCAATACACACACACACATAAAAATAATAATAAAACATTTGAGAAAAAAATAAAAAACAAAAAGACATCCAACTGCAGCAAATATTAACAACAAAATCACTTTTGCAAGTGGGTCAATACAAAACAAGCATTCAGTGTCTAGTCATGTCCAGTTCCCACTCCACTAATAGTCAATGGAATAAAGAAGGAAGCCCATTTCTCCCATTCACTGTCCAAAAGGGACAGCACTTAATTGACTCATGGAATGCAGAGATGGCTTCTGCTACTTCTGCTGAATTCACACATCCACCATGAAACAAAGGACATAAACTGTGCTCTTTCTCTTCTCAAATTACCCTTTCTTGTTCTCAATTCTAAATATTGTAGTATACCCACACATGCATTTGTTCACATATAAACATGTATACATTATTGGCTAGGAACTTCATATGAAGGAAAACATGAGGGGTTTTTTTGGGTTTTTTTTTTGTTTTTTTAACTTTCTGAGATTGGGTGACCTTACTTAGTAGTATACATTCTAGGTCCATCTATTTTGCTGTGACTTTTGTGATTTCATTTTTCATTAGAGCTGAGTAATATTTCATTTAATATATGTGCCAGATTTTCATTATCCATTCATCTGTTGATAGACAATTAAGTTGGCTCCATTCCTTGCTATGGTGAATAGAGCAGCAGTAAACACAGGGGTACAAATATCTCTATGGTAAGGTATGGAGTTCTCTGGGTATATGCCCAGGAGTGAGACAGCTGGGTCACATGGTAGCTCTATTTTTAGTTTTTTGAGGAACTTCCAAACTGATTTCCATAATAACTGTACTAATTTGCATTCCCACTAGCAGTAAATAAAGGTTCCTCTTTTCCACATCCTCTCTAAACAATTTTTGATAATATTTTGATTGAGGTAAGGTGGTATCTCAAAGTGGTTTTAATTTGCATTTCCCTTATGACTAGAGAAGTTGAATACTTTAAAATAGTTGTTGGGGGGTTGGAGAGATGGCCCAGTGGTTAGGAGCACTGTTTTTGCAGAGGACTCAGATTCTATTCCCAGCACCCACATGGCAGCTAACAACCATCTGTAACTCCAATTCCAGGGGACACCTTCTTCTGACCTCTGCAGACATTGCACAACATGGGTGCACTCACACGCATGCAGGCAATACACTCAAAACACATAAAATAAAAAATAAAAAAATATTTTTAAATAAATAAATAAAGCAGTTGTTGGTCATTTGTTTTTCTTTTTCTCAAAACTAATTTGTTGACCCATTTGTTGACTGGTAATTTTATTTCCTTAGTATTTTACTTTGGCAATTCTTTCTATGTTCTGGATATTAGCATCTCCCATTGTGCAAATTATCTGTGCACTCTGGGCAGAAACTTTTAACTTCCGTGTAGTCCCATGTGTTGGTACTTGGGCTAGTTCCTGTGCTACTCATGTTCTGGTCTCGAAGTTCTTCCACCAATGTCCTGAGAATACTCCCTATATTTTCATCTAGGAATTTCACGGTTTAAATTAAGGTCTTTGATCCATTTGAATTGATTTTGTACAAGGTGAAAGTTGATTCTAGATGATGGAAAGAACTTCCATGCTCCTGCACTGGCAAACATCAACATTGTGAAAATGACAATACTACCAAAATTAATCTACAGATTTAATGCAATATCTATCAAAATTTCAATGTCATTATTCAAAGAACTAGAAAACAATCCAAGAATTCATATGAACCCATAAAAGACAACAAGTAGCCAAAGCAATCCTATGGAGTAAGAACACAGCTAGAGGCAACACAATACTTGATCTCATACTATACCAGAGCTATAGTGATAAACACAGCCTGGTGCTGGCACAAAGACAGACAGGTAGACCAACAGGGCAGAAACGAGGACCACATGAACAGAAAAAGCTGTGCCCATCTGTAGTGGTTTGAATGAGAATATCCCCCACAGGCTCCAAGTATTTGAGCACTTTGTCTCCAGTTGGTGGTGCTGTTTTGGGAGGTCTTAGAAGGTGTGGCCATGCTAGAGGAAACATGTCACTGGGGGTGGGCTTAAGCCTTGACAGGTCTCCAGTCACTCTCTGCTTCTTGTGCCTGCTTGAAGATGTGAGCACTTAGTTTCTGTTCCTACTCCAACTACCTCTGCTGCCATGCCTCCCCACCATGGTGGACTCTTGCCCCTTTGGAACTGTAAGCTAAAAAAACTCTTCCTTCTGTAAGTTCCCTTGGTCAGTGTTTCTATTACAGCAATAGGAAAAGTAACTAATATATCACTTAATTTTCTGATAAAGGATGCAAAAAACACACACTGGAAAAAAGACGGCCTAGTCAATATATGATGGTGGAAAAACTAGATTTCCACTGCATAAGAATGAAATTTGATTCACAACTTTCATCTTGTACAAAAACTAATTTGAAATGGAGTGTTTGCTTTTAAAAGAATAAACTGTAATTGGTGGAATTCTCAATTGTCAAACATATGAGAGGAATAGGTCAATGTGTGTATTAGAAGTCAGGAGGAGAGAAGTTCAGCTTTGTGAGAACACTCAGCTCCTCTAAGCTATTCTTCTTTCATGTAGTATATTCTATCTCTATTCTCTTTCTCAAAACTGAGGGGAAAGTTCACATAATATAAAATTCATGGTTTTAAAAGCATAATTAGTGGTCTTGAGTATAATCATAAGGCTGTACAATAATCACTATTATGTAATTCTGAACATTTCATTGTCCCAAGAAGAAATCTCCTCATATCAGAACAGCAGTCTTCTTTAAGGGTGAATAATATTCCACTGTATGGACATACCACATTTGTTTATCCTTTCATCAGTTGATGGATGTTTGTCTCCATTTCTGAGCTGAGAAGACCCCTAAAACCACCAAGGATTTTCTGTCAAAGAATTGCAAGGAAATTCTGAAGTCTAAGAATTAGTCAAAAGCTAACACTTGGCACAAGCCATCTGCCCAGATAAGAAATCTGTTGATTACCACACTGCTTACCTTTCCCAGAGGTGGGTGCACATCAAAGAAAAAGGTACGGTTGATATAGTAACTTCCCATTTTCCCAAAGTGAGTCTCATCCCAACTAAAGGAAAAATAGAAAGTCTTAATAAACCACAGTTAAAATTACAGTTAAAACCAAAGACCATGAGTTTCAAAAGTTAATATGTAAGTTGTCTTAAAAATAAAAACTTTTGACACAGTGGTTTGAGGAGCGAGATATTAAGCTACTAACCTAGATTTCAACAAATGAGAAAGGTTAACAAATATTTACCAACTAGTTACCATAAATTTAAGTTAAATATAGTCTTATTCTGTATCTGTTTTAAAGCGGCAGCATTTTCTTGTAACATGGAAAGGTTTACTGTAGAGATTTCTTCTGCGTCTAGAAACCTCTAACTCTGAGATGGTGTTCGAATATACATTAGAATATATATTACTATCAGAATGTATATTAGAATATATATTACTAATCAGAGAGTCTATAATGCAAGATTGGCACAGTAGAATTTGACTTTGCTCATCGCCCCTGACCATGGTCTGACTGACCCAGCTGTAATGAACCAGCCATATACAAAAGCTGAATTTCCTTACTAAGAGTATATCTAACCCCTATGCTCATCTCATGTTCTTTGCAAGTAAATAAGTGAATCTTGCTAGCTTTCCAACACATGTGAAGTCTTGTTCCGCCATATAACCACATAAGCCTTTTTATTCCCTGCATGAAGCCTTTAACAAGGCAGCTACGCCATCCAGCAGGGCCTGGCTATTTGATACTTTCTTCCTGCAGCTCAAAAGGGTTGCTTTCCAGTGACTATGCCCAGGCCAACTTCCATAACAGCCATTATCTCCCTGCCACATACTCATGCTTTCCCCCAAGATGTGCAGGTCTTTATTATTTAAACTCAGTGGGCCCAGCAGATGGGCAGAAGACTAAACCGACTGCATCTGCTGAGGACACTGACTGACCCAAGGTTAGGACAGTGGCGTGGTAACATAGAAGAGTTAGTTTCAGGGCAGTGTAGCAAAACAGACAGCAGGAAGAGAGCATTCTCAGCTCCATCACTTACTAATAGCAAGACTGACAAAACCACTCTGTCCAATCCTCTCTTCTTATCTACACAATGGAGAGTTCTAGCATTTGCCGAGCCCCGCTCCCAGGGAGGCACTGGGGCTCAACTTCAGAAAGGAACTTTGTAGATGTAGAAGTACTACACACGCTGGTGACCAAACTGCCCAACATTTGCCATTAGTTTTGAAGCTTGTCTGGTGACAGGCTGACAAAGGGACATAAGATTTTTACTTCTAAAGTTTCTCAAGTACAATCAGTAGTAACATATGCATTTCCTCTTGACTTTTACTGCTCCTATCAGGAAACAGTTCTCCATGGCTTGCTTAGGCCCCTATAGCCCTTGCAGGGTACGCCCAGCATGCAAGGTTCCAACCCATCTGTACCATTTCTCATGGTTGTTTGCTGTAAACAGCCCTGGGGAAGAGCTGCTGTATCACTCCAGGAGAGAACAGCCTGCAGTAAAACAGCACATTCCTGGGCTGTGATGCAGCCTACTGTGGAGCAAGCATTCATCCGCACCCATGCACTGCGGTGGGCACTGCACTGGGCTCCAGGGAAAAAGGAAAAAGGAACCGATGCCCATATCTGATGTTCCTGTATGCCATGAGACTAGAAGACTTTGTCTTCTGCTGGCATCCATAAAGCAGCAGTAGGTTGACCTCTTAGTTTGCAAGTAAGCAAAAAATACATCTAAGACCCTATAGGTGTGGGGCACAAGCATGGGTTGACAAACCTAGCTTTCTGAAAAAGGACAAAGGTCCTCAAGGGCTGAGTGGAGAAGACAAACTGAAACATGGTGGCAAATTTTCTCACACAAGTATGAAGTGGTAGGCAATCAAGCAGCAATAGTCCCCACTGTCCCACCCATTAAAGAAGCAAAATGAAGAAATGGTACAGTAATAAGGACCCTGCTATTCATTCCTTCATATGCTCATTCACCCCCACCCCACTGCTGGAGATCAACCCAGGGCCCGTGCGTATTAAACAAGTGCTGTACCATTGAGCTATATCCCCAGCCCACCAAAACCCTGCTATTTAACACAGTCCACAAATGAAAATAAAAACATTCCTGTTATAAGTTAAATGTGAAGTGTCCCTCAAAGGCTCATGTGTTTGAACAGCTGGTGGTGCTGTTTGGAGGGTTATGAAAATTTTGGGACATGGGGCATAGCTGGTGGGTGGAACCTTTGAAAGTTATTTCTGCTCTAGCGCTCTGCTTCCTGATCCTTCTCTTTGATAGAGGTCAATTCAAACTAATTCAGCAGCAAGTACCACAACAATAGTACACTGCTATGGTCTAGTGATTCCTAGCCACAAGGTCACTTAACTACTGAGAAACTGGCTGTGTGTAAAAGGCTGTGTGTAAAACTGTTCCCTCCTAGTGAGGAGAAATAAATCCCTGGAAAGGAAAGAGAGATGAGTTTTAAAGACTTAATGGCAGAGCTTGGGAGGTGGTACAGTGCTTGCCATGCAAGCATGAGGACCTGAGTTTAGACCCTCAGTACTCATGTAAAAAGTCAGGTGTGGCAAAGTGTGTGTTATCCCAGTATCAGAGAGCTAGAATCCGCTGACCAACAAGCCTGACTGAATCGGGGAGCTCCAGGTACAGTGAAAGACCCTGTTTCAAAAAATAAGGTGGCGAGAGATAGAGGAAGACACTCAACATCGACCTGTATATACATGCACATGCATGTACATGTACATGTACACACACACACACACACACACACACACACACACACAACTTAATGGCTGCTGGAACGCTGAGAAGCTAGTCAGTCACCTGGATAACAGTGCCACCTGCTGAACACAAGTATCAAGTACATGCTTTTCCAAGGTCAGTTATTAACAAACATACTACTAAACTCTTGTTAAAATTGAGTTCAGACTGACCCACAAAAGCCTCAGGACTCTCTGGCCTTAGAGTTCCACTTTGGAATAGGTTATCTTGGAGTTTATAGCTAACAAAGGCAAGACTCCACACACTCTCACCAATGGGAATGGCATAGTCAAGAATACAGTCAGCCTGGCCCTGGAAGCCTCTCAGTTCTACATAAAGTGGCAGGTCCCCCTTTGGGAGAAATTATTTCCCATTCCACTCTCTGAGGCACAGCCACTGGTTCAGTGGGGTCCATGCCTCACAAAGGTTCCTTCCTTAAAATGCATGTACCTGGTTCTCAGAGGATTAGGCTAAATTAAAAGTTGATGGCATCCACTGGGCAGCAGCAGGCATTTTGCCATAAAGACCATTATTGATGACTGACTGCAGTCAGGGTTGGAGGTTTGAGATACCACTTGGAAGACTACGTATTAAGAGACTAAAGACTAAAGACACCCCTCCATGGAACTGGAAGTTGTAGAAACAAATTGTGGCTGTACAATGATAACATAGTCTGGATTATCCATGAAGATGCTATCATACAGAATGTACCCTGATGAAGACTACCTAGGCTCAGTTCCTGCTCAAGCTTGTACCACCCAACTACCTGGACTGCACCAGGTGTGGGAACATACCTGCTATCATGAATTGACTGATCATAAAGTAAAGGACCATAGCTTTCTGAGCAGAAGCCACCACTGTATGCCAAAAGCTGACCTGCTTGTTTTTTCATAAGGAGTCTACACTGCACAAGGCACTGACTGTCTGCTCCTAAGAAACTAAGAACAGTAGGACTTTGCCCTGCTGGTGTTCTCACTGGTACCTCCCTGCTGATGGTACTTCCTCAGGTTTCAGTGATGCTGCTGTTCTAGTTCAGTCGCTAACTCTGGATAAGCCATTCTGGCCCTTAGAATTAAACTATCATGCTTTCAACTTTCCAACCTAGCTACAGCCTGATAGTGGTACACCTTTTTGTCACAATGGTCATCTAACAATGGGCCAATGGTCAAGGTTTAGATGGCCAGTCCACACTCCTACCATCTATAGGCATCTGATATTGTCAAGCATTGAAAATAAATCAACTCAAAAAGGTTTAGGACTCTTCATCACCTTTTCCTGGTCTAGAAACCTTACTAAAGAAGTCTGGTCCCAATGCAGTCATTCTCAGAAAAATCCTTCTTCTTTTGGCTACCAACTGGGTAATGATAGGAAAAAGAAGTGGAGCTACATAAAGTTATTTGGAAAAATAAGTTTCCTTGGCCATGGTTTGTCTTTCTTCTCAGAGAAACCTTAGATCAGCAAAGAAATGTTAGGGAAGGTGGCAATACTCAAACTTAACTCTAGTTTGTCTCCTGGATTGTCTTACATGGTCTAGAGTATCATGACCATTTGGTTGAATACACTGCTGCTCAAGTCACCCTATGGTGCCACCTGTGTCAGGTAGAGGACATGAACAGGTTTTCTGAATTTTCTAATAATGCCCACAGTAAAAAGGTCTGGATGTGTGTAGGGCACAAGTGGAGGAAAGGTGAAGTGATAGAACCTAGCATGGGACACACTACAATCATGTGGTAGGAAAGAAACAACCCAACACCTGAGGAAGGAAAACCTTAGATCTCTGGAGACCTACAGTGAAAGGAAACATTCAATTTTTCGTCCCCTAAGTCCAGCACCAAAGCCTGGCAAGACTCACACGGTCCACCTAAGTGAAGTGGCAGCTGAAGCTGGCACTCAAGCTGTGGCTGAAAACAGAAAAGGTCATGCAGACACGGGCAGTCTTTAATTATTCTGATGTGCCTGACATCAGCACCAGCTCCCCAAAGTGCAGCTCCCCGATATGTATGCCAATGCACAAATCTACACAGCTTTCTGTTTGTCTGGTTGGAACACACCATATGCTTCCCTGAAGTATTAGGAAATAGGTTATGCCTGTACAGTGACTGAGGCTGCAACTACTCAGTGACACTGACCATGGGGCTTGACCAAATCAATGCAATCAAATTCAATGGTGATCTAAATAAAACTGAACTGAGTGACTTGTATCCCTTCAGGGATATGTTAATATGTTAGTGTGTAAGAAAAAATAGACCAGGGATTGTCTTTCCATTGGATATGGCAGCTGCGTCGTTTTACTTAGCACTGTAATTATTGGCAATGATACCAAAATCAGGGTCAATCGAAATTCCTGTAACAGGTCATAATGAATATGGTCTTATATTACATTTAAGCTGACTGAAATAAGACTAAAGACTAGCTGGTCCTACACCAGCACTTGTCCATAGGAGGCTTGAATCCAGGACCTTGAAGGGTGTAACTGAGGTAAATAACAAACATTGGCTTCACCCTGCTGCTCAGAGTCCCACTGACAGAAGCCTTAATTATTTGTCTGTGTGAGACAAATAGAGCAGATTTAGTCCCTGCCTCTGTTCGCTGGCCTAACGAGATGTGCTGGATGGCTTTGTCAACCTTACACACCTGGGAAGAGGAAACTTCAATTGGGAATTTCTCCTATTGGACTGGCCTTGTGGGCATGTCTGTGAGGCAGTTTCTTGATTGTTGAGTGATGTGGGAGGGCCTGGCCCACTGTGGGCAAGGCCACCCCTGGGCACGTGGTCCAGTGTTGTAAGAAAGCAGGCCGAGCACAGGTTAGAGGAGCAAGCCAGTAAGCAGCGTCCCTGACTTCCCTCAATGATGAACTGTGACGTGGGAGATGTAAGATAAAATAAACCCTTTCCTCCCCAAGTTGGTTTTGTTCAGTGTTGTTTTTTCGTTTGTTTTGTTTTTAATCACAGCAATAGCATGTAACTAGGACACCAGAGCACCTAATACTGTGGCATATTAACATGAAACACCTGCTAGGAGCCAAAGCAGTGTAGGATCTAAGGGTGGTAAGGGCTGTTGGGGGAAGAGTCCTCTATCAATGTCTTGTGCATCCACACATTTTGCTGAATTTGCCAAGAATGCCCTGACTGCATTTTACCTGGGCCATTTCTGAGGGCTGTGCTTGCAGCAAGTAAATCAGAGAGATGAGGCAATGGCTCCCACCAGGACAAAATGCAGGTTTGCTTACAGCTTGTGATAAAACAGATTTCTCAAGCTTGTATTTCTTGACCTTTACACAACTCACTGTGTCACCACTGTGTGTGGGTGTATTGTCACCCAGTGGGAACTGGCAGGGGATACGAAGACCTAGCTCCAAACATGCTGATATTCATCCTGCTTCCTCTAAAAGTCCTTTGTGTCCAACCCAGTAGTCATATCCTCTGACAGCAGTAACGAAACAGTTGTTTCACAGCTAATTTGTTGATTTCCAAGGAGAGCAACTCTGAGAGTTTGTTTGCTTGGTTTCTTTTTGGTTAAGTTCCATTCCTGACACCTTCTCCTTGGTAATACTGAGAAAATACAGTAACTTGTTCACAAAACAAATCCAACCATTCCTTGCAGCAAAAGACCAAGTTACTTTGTAAGCTCAGCTAATGGAATTTGGTCAAGCCTTAACTCAACATCTGTATCATACACCTTCTAGAAAAGAAGTTTATTCTCACAAAACACCAGACCTGTTGCCTGGAACCCTTGCCACCATCAATGGACACCCAAATTGTCCTTGTTTTATAGGATAAGAGTACCATTTAGGAATTTTCTCTCTGCTGATGCCTGAAATATCAGGCTTTGGAAAAATTCTTTGCCAAGAATGTCCTATTTTCTTAGGAAAGGTCAAAGCATCTTTAAGGGCCACAGTTTTTGAAAGCCAGGCAGCCTAGCAGGTCTGAGAAGCGCTTCTTCAGATCCTGAGTTTCACAATCCCTCTTAAGAGCAAACCTACTCCTCTCAAGACACTGGAACTTGCGGGAGGCCAAACCCCAGCCCAAACCGCAGTTTCTCCTCCACTACAGACCCATCGCGCCTCCAGTGAATCCCGCCCCCTCCATGCCCTCAGGCCAATCAGAGGGTGGCGTCCCTCCCTCTCGGTTACCATGGTGCCTAGTTCCTTCCACCGCTTACCAGATGTGCGGCGGCTGGTCCAGTTGGTGAAAGCGGGTGGCGAAGGCTAGGAACGTCACAACGGCCAGCGTGGCCCACCGGCTGGCCGCCTCCAACTGCGGCGAGCTCCGAGCAGGCCGTTTGGGGCTCCGCGTTGCAGCCTCGGGGACCACGTCCCGGCCCCTGGCCCGGGCAGCCTGTGACCCGCAGCGGCCCTTCCGAGGACGCAGCTCGGAGCCCGCCAGGCCGCCACCGATGGCCGGCGGCATCCTCCCTCTCTTGAGGATCACCCTCCCGGCCAAAGGCGCGCTGGGTCTGGTCCGCTGGCCCGCTAGGGCGTCACAGGAGGGAGACTCGAGGTGCCCTGGGATATGTAGTTCCCTCCGCTTCCCGCGGAGCGCCGGGCCCCGGCCTTTGGGCGGAGTGGGAAACGTGGTGGCCGCCCGGGCCGCTATAAAGCGGCCTGAGGCGTAGAGCATTGCTGGTGGCAGAGGTGTGCGAAAGACAGAGAGGACCGCGACAGCTCACAGAACTGCAACTCCCAACAGCACCAGCGGCGGGGGCGGGGCCGTCCCGGAGACGGAGGGAAGCCCATCCAGTCCGACCCTCGCTTCTCCGAGGCTCTGACTCGTGCGAGTCCTGCTAGGCCTCAAGTTATCCTCGAATCCCGTGCGTGGACTTTCGTGGCTGGAAGAGGAGGTCGCCCGACGTGCGAGATGCAAGCTGGGAAGGTCTGTGCCGCACATCCGGGGACAAGGGTCGCCGCTTAGAAATGCAGTGAACGGCTGTGGGGCGGGGCTGAGCGCCTGTCTCCGCTAGGCTCTCGGCCCCACCACGACTCCCGGCGTGCAGTGCGGCGTGCTGGGTCGCTCTGCGTCTGCGCGTTGCCCCTTGAGCCCAAGGAGCTAGCTAGATTGGATTGGGGAAGGCTATTCCGGTTCTGTCTCCGCCCCCCCTGCTTCGTGTACACTGACCTCTTCTGGATTTTTCTGACTTGACGCTTCGCCTTGCAGTACCGCTACGCTCTGTGTGCACCTGTTTACCGGGAGGTCGATCGATTGTACCAGTTATCAGGTGGCTTTCCAGGCCTGCACCAAGGGGTGTTTGCATTCTTAAAATGTACCAGGAGGCTGTGGCACTTGGCATTAAAATAATACCGAGGGAACTTCCCGAGTTTTTTGCTTTGTCGGTTTGGTTTTATGAAACAGGATCTCACTATGTAGCCCAAGCTGACTTTGCACTCCCGACCCTCCAGCCTTAGCGCCCCAAGTGCTGGGATTACAGACTACTGCATCTGGGACCTCCCAAATTTAACTTGCACGTCCCTGGCCCGTCCTAGAGCCACTGTGTTAAGCACTGGTGGAAGGGGCTGCGAATCTGTTTTTTAAGCAACACAGTTGAGTCTCTTGTACCTAAAGTTTGAGAGCCATTGTTTAGGAAAGTGGCACATCAAATGGGCATTGCACCAGAGTAATACCCACCGACAAATGTGATTTTAGGAATCTTAACCGCCTAAGAATTTAAAAGCAGCTAGGGATGTATGTAGCTCAGTGGTAGGGCATTTACCTAGCGTGGGCTGGATTGCCTGTAATTGCAAAACGGTAAATACATCGCCAGAATAATCAGAATGTGTATTTGAATTGGAAACACAATCCTTCCAGGCACGCCGATTACATGGACTTGATACTAAATTTTAGCTGTAGGCGTGCGAAAATAAACTGAATGATTTACAGCGCCCGTTTATGTGTGGTTTCTCTTCCCATAATTTCCTTATCTGTGGTCAACGTCGCCTCAAAGATAATAGATGGAAAATTCCAGAAACGAAGTTTACAGGGCTTTCTGAGTAGTGTGATGAAATTCACACCACACACTACAGAGCATTGTCTAGCGTATTCATGCTATGTATGTGACCCACCTGTTAGTCATTTTAATAGGTTTTTGATCAGCCAGGCTGTCAAGATACTACAGTGGTTGTGTGTGAATAACCCTTATTTTACTTGCTAATAACCCCAAAGCTCAAGAGCAGTGTTAGTGGCAGTTTTATTAGACTAAACTGTTAAAATTATCCAATTTTGTTGTTAATGTTTTATTGTACCTAATTTACAAATTAAGCCTTAGGTATGTATGTGTTGTAATGGTTAGTGCTAACTGTCAATTTAATAGACTCGACTCTAGAGTCACCTTGAAGACAAGCTTCCAGGCACACCTGTGAGGGGTTATCAAGGTTAGGTTAGCTTCTGTGCATACCTGTGGAGGATGATCTTTATCAGGTTAATTGAGGTGGGAAGACCCACTCACTGTAGGTGACACCATTCCCTGGATTGGGTCCTGAACTGATAAAAGGAAAGTCACCTGAGCACCAACATGTATTCATTGCTCTGTTCATTGGCTGTGGGTGCAATGTAACCAGCCACCATGATGGACTATACCTTGAACAAGAAGCCAAAATAAACCGTTCTTTAAATTGCCTTTGTCAGGGTATATTACAGCAACAGGAAAAGAAACTAAAATAATTTATAAGAAAAAAACAGTATATATAGGGCTTGGTTAATACATGGTTTCAGGCATCCACTGGAAGTCTTGGAAGGTATACTCTGAAGATAAAACAGGCTACTATAAATAGTAATCACTAGTAAGAAAAAGAACAGAAATTACCTAAGAGATTTCAGGTTTCCCACTTACGAGTCATAGTAGAGGGTAGTGGCAGGTACCATGACTCTGGTTACCCTTAGTACAGTCAGGGGTGTAACGGCCATTCAGTGATTCTAATCTACTATCTGCCACCCTCTCATGGTCAGTCTTACAATAATCTCTCTTGGACCCAGAACTCCCTGTAGCTTAACTAATTGAGGAAAGTGATACCTCTAAATAAAATCCAATTGTGGTTGCCCAGTTCCTATCCTCAAAGATATTTTTTGTTTATCACCTGTCCTCTGTGCCAGGACCATGTTGACCTTCCCCACAGAAGGGGCTTACAAGACAAACGAACTCCTGGACCTGGGAACTACTTTAAGAGGACTTGGATTCTGACTTGTACCTTTGCTCTCCTAGAATACTGCATTGGTAGTATAAGGATGGAGAATGCTGGTTCCAATGGTATCTTTTTTAATTTTTTAGAGTTACTTATTTTGTGTATGAGTGTCTTGCCTGCATATAGATGTGTGCGCCACAGGTGTGGTGCTTGAAAACACCAGAAGAGGTAAAGATGGTTGTAAGCAACCATGTGGTTCCTGGAACGAAACTCCGGTCCTCTGCAAGAGCAGCAAGTGCTCTAAACTGCTGAGCTATCTTTCCAAACAGACAATATCTTGATGTAGGTAGGTGGCAGAAGGAGATGGAATCTTGGTCTATGGACAGAAGAGTAGTAGGCAGGTAATCTGAGAGATCAAGTTCTCTCTTACCCATATGGATATGTATCTATAGGAAGATCCGTGAGTGCTGGTCACTTACTCCTGAGCCCTGCTTTGAAATGCTGGTTACCTAAGAAGCACTGGAGAAATTAATTTCTAGTCCCTTCTAATCACACATTCCAAGGGCCTTAAACATAACAAAACTGAGAAAAGTGGGCCAGCTGTGGTTTGTGACATCAAAAAGGGCACACTCAGCCTGAAGGGGTATTGATCTGCTCCAGTCAACTGTTACTGCTTAGGAACCCAAATCCTGGAGGGATGGCTCAGCAGTTAAGAGCACTGGCTGCTCTTCCAGAGGGCCCAGATTTGGTTCCCACCACCCACATGGCATCTGACAGTTGTCTATAACTCCAGTTCCAGGGGATCCAATACCCTCCTCTGGTCTCCATAGGCATTACACACTGGGTACACATACATGTATGGAAAACATTCAAACACATAAAAGAACTCAAATCCACTGTCTCCTGAATTTTTAAAAGAAAAAAAGATAAGATTTGCTATGAAATACCCTGGTTTTTACTTGAAACCTTTTAAAATACAGCATCCCCCTACTTAAAATTACATCTATATTACTTCATATTACATCCCAATAAACAAATTGAAACGATTATAAATAAAAAAGTGTTTTTACTGTACCTAACTTGCCAAACATTGTAGTTTAACCTACTTTACACATGCTCAGAACATTTACATTAGTCTACAGTCTACAAAACACAGAGCCTTTTGTATTATAAAGTGTTGACTGCCATCTACACACACACTTCACCCCACACCATGCTAGGGATGAAACTCAGGGCTATGCAAATACTCTACTGTCGGGGGGCCCCCCGCTTGGCCTGAACCCTGCTGCTATCAGGAGACCATTGCACACTGGCCCCATCACGGAAAGTGAGGAGAGAGACCAGTCGGGGGAAGGAGGCCTCAGGGAGCAGTGAGTACGACAGGAAGAAAACATCCCAGGAGACTGTGTCAGTGGACAGCTCGTTTATTATGGCGGAAGCAGAGGTTTATATAGGAAAGTTTCGAGGGCAAAGAGGTGGGGTTGGGTTTTTGGCAGGCAGGCAGGTAGGGGGAGGGAGGGGGCTTCTAAGGCTATGTGGCTTTTGTCCTGTCCTCTGGTTGCATGATCTACAAGAGACATGGTTAGGATTAAAGGATTAGAGGACTAATAGTTTTGCTTGGGGGTTGTTGGGTAAGAGACAGTGTATCTAGAATGGAGCGGGCCAGTTTCCTGCCGTCCTCACTAGGAGGTATCCAGCCTGGCGGCCATGCTCTACATTCCAGGCACTCCTGACTTATCCCAACTCTCTACCACTGGGGAGATGGAGACTTTCATCTCCTGGGAGCCAAGGGATCTTGCATCCCAACCCCACAGGTGGCCATTTTGTAGCATGATAGGATGTGAAAACACAAAACAATATGCCAGGTACTGGCAGCAAAGTACACTATAGATTGTCCCTTGTTTCCCCAGCTGCTCATCCTAAGATTACCAAGCTGTAGATCACTGCCATTGCCCAGCATTCTGAGGAAATAATGTCCTACATAGCATTAGCCCAGGGAAAGATCAAAATTCCAAAATTTGAAGTACAATTTCTAAACCAAATGCATGTCACTTTTTATCATTAAGGTCAAAAAATGTTAAACAGAGTAATCATAAGTTGGGCCATCAGTATTGTGTAGACAAAACAACATGAGAAGGCCAGACAGGCCCTTGTAAACCACCAGCTTAAACCTCACCTTTGGAGTGAATGGGCTTATCTGTTAGGTATTTTTATGAGGCTGGCTGGGAGTGGGGGCTTCAAGATGGCAGACACCAAAGCACCAAAACACAAGATTCTCTGATCTTTGTGACAAAGCAGAAGGAAATTCTGCCATCGTGTTACAGTACCTTTTGCTTTATAAACAAAAGAGATGAAGGCTAGAGAAGGCAGGGATTTGTCTCAGGTCACAGAGAGCTGCTTCCTGTACCAGGTCTAGACCCCAAGTATGTCAGTTCTAAGTCCGCTCCACCACAGACTGTACCTCAAAGCCAGGCTACATTGTATGCCCAAGTACCAAACTTGACTCCACTAGGAACTAAAGAAACCTCCCACAAGTTGGACAGATGCCCTTTCTGAGCAGAGTCCTAAGTTCCTCGGGTGTTTGCCTAGCCTGACTTTCCCATTGGCTCTTAGGACCCACCCCTTTGGGTTCCTCCTTCTGCCTCAGCTCTGTGAGAAAAGGCCTTCTTCCAGAGACCATAGCACCATGACTAGCAAGGTAAGGCAGGCACTTGAGGGTTGATTCCCCTTAGGGGCTGCTTAGACTTCAAGAACTCATTCCAGCACTAGGAGCCCAGACAGCCTGCAGCAGCCCTCAGTTGCCCGGATAGCAGGCCTCAGGAGGGCTAGCGTCCTCAGGCCTGCTGCAGTGGGAAGACACTGGTGCTTAGAGCCCCTTGCCTAGGGTCTGGTGCCTCTCCAGTGGAGCCCCTAAAGCTAGAAGCCTGTTGAGCCCAATTTAATGTATGCCCTTGTTCCCTCTCTCCTCAGCCAGTCCTCTACTCCTATTTCCGAAGCTCCTGTTCATGGAGAGTTCGAATTGGTAAGAGCTCCTGGGAGGGGTGGAATGGGGTGGCCTAGGACGGAGGACTTCACCCTCCCAGAAACCGGCATCGCTGGTCTGGAGCTTTTCTCTGAATGGCACCCTCCAACCAGGAAGTCCAACAAGAGGACAGTGTGAGTGGGAGGAAGGGGATTGTTTTTCCTCTAGGGACTCCCACTTCCCTCACAGGCTGCTCTCCAAAGCCCCGTAGCAACCATGCCCAAAGCAGGTTCAAGAAATCCAGAGATCCCTGGTAACTGACAGGGAACAGCTGGCCTCCCTCAGTTCTTATTTGATCTGACAAATCAAATAGAACTGTTTAGTGTTGGCCACAGAGGCATTGGGAGAGCAGAAACTGGAGCTCCCCGGTTTAGTCCTGGATTGACCCTTCCCTCTTCCAATTATTGCAGCCATTGGCAAAGGTCACCCTCAGCTGTGTATACTGAAGAAATCTGTACTGAGGGTTTTGTGTGCATGTGCATGGCTCCCTTTCAACCTCAATGACCCTAGGAGGGAGGGACTATTATTGTCTCCACTGTACAAATGAGGAAACTGAGGCATGGGACGGTTAAGACACTTGCCCGTAATCGTGCAGCTACTAAGAGGCAGACCTAGAATTTGAACTATGTAGTCTGGTTCAAGCTCAAGTATTTGTTTTCATTTGGTTTAATTTGGTGCCTGTGATTGAACCCAGAGCCTCAGTCATCCTAAGTTCATGCCCTTCCTCTAAGCAACACCCTTAGCCAAAATCCATGCTTTTAACCACTACATAGTGCTGTTTGTCAGATGGGGAAACTGAGGCACAGAAGCCCATTAAGTTACTTGCCCAATGCCAAACACCTAGCAAATGAATGGTAGAATTTGAACCCAAGCATCTGGCCTCCAGTCTTACCCTAATTGCAAAGCCATCATCAGCGACTCCCACCCATGTCATAGTCCTTTGAATGGAGTTTTTGGAGTCAGCAGGAAGACACCTACTTCCCTGAACCCCAGAGGCTCTTTCGTGGCTGAGCCAGAAGCTAGAACAGTAGGCACGTTCTCTCTGTAGGGTGCATATACTTTGGACTCTCTCTCTCAGCCCCAACCACTTTAACTCCAGAGTGGGGCTGACCAGAGCAGGCTCCCAGCATCACTGTGGGAGGGCTTGCCTTGGGAGTGATCAGAAGTTATTCCCTGACTACTCTCTGGTCTCTCCTAGCTCTGGCCTTGAAAGGCATTGACTATGAGACAGTGCCCATCAACCTTATAAAGGATGGGGGACAACAGGTAAGGAGGCTGCCCCAGGCCACAATATGAGAATTGGACCTTAGAGAAGTACCAGGTAGAGTGCTGGCTGTCCCCAAGAAGGAAACCTGTCTCATGGTTCCTATGGCCTGGAGGCTGCTTCTGGCTCTCACTTATAGGACAAGGCGGCAAACTGGGCAGCAGTAGGAGCCATGGAAGGGCTTAGGGTTCCAGGCTCAGTGCCTGACTACATGAGTGGGTGGCAATGGGGCCTTGTCCCACACTGACCCTCTCAATGGCTGACTAGAATAGGAGCTGGTTTGGTGGCCACGCTGTAAAGTACAGGGGAAAATCATATAGCCAGACCATTGGGGTAAAGATTGTACCTCAGGGGGTCTGGGATACTGCATAGATTCCCAAAGATTAGCCTGGGCCAAGTCCTTACCTAAGGAAGGGAAATATGGATTGGTGCCAGGCTTGAGGTTTTTCTGCTTGCCAGTTCTGCTTTAGCCAACTCAGGGTAGGCCAACCAGTCCAGTAGGGTCTTGTCTCCACAGTTCTCTGAGGAATTTCAGACACTGAACCCCATGAAGCAAGTGCCAGCCCTGAAGATTGATGGACTCACCATTGGCCAGTCAGTGAGTAGAAGACTTTGGGGAGGCTTCTCAGGATGGCAGATCTCTGAATGACAGGACCTGACATCTCTTCCTAGCCCATGTATAGCCAAAGCACCAAGCATAGTAGAAGCTCAATAAGTATTTGGCAGAGGGAAGGAGAGTGGGAGATTGATTTAGGGGTTGAGAGAGTTGAACATGTCGGGAGCCGAGTTCCGCAAGCTCCCCAAAGACTCCAGCCAAGGAAGGTGAGCAAAAGGAGGCAGAGGTGGTACCACTGAAAAAAGAGGGTTGCTGTCCTGTGCCCTCTAGTCCATGGATCTCAAGACCTCTCCCTGTCTCACTGTTTCCTCTGGACAGCTGGCCATCATTGAGTACCTGGAGGAGACTCGGCCCACCCCACGGCTCCTGCCTCAGGACCCAAAGAAGAGAGCCAGCGTGCGCATGATTTCTGACCTCATTACCAGTGGTATCCAGCCCCTGCAGGTCAGCACTATTACACTTGCACCTTTTACACCTCTCACTCATCTCCTGTCCCTCATTGTGACAAGCTCACAGTAAGGTGCCCAGGCTGGACGTAGCAGGAAAACAAAAAGAGACTGATAGGGCCTTGACCTAGACCACATGACAGAAGAGGCACTGATCCCTGAAGTCCTCCAACAGAGTAGGTCCCCAGCTATGCTCCTGGGTGTTCTACAGCATAGAGGTGTTCAAGGTGGAGAAAGAGCCAGGGTGGCAGGCTCAGGTCCAGCCTCGGGCCTTCAGGTGAGCAGCTGCCTTTCATCTGTTCTGTGGCATATCTACAAGTTCATCTTGCTTTATTGTACTTCACCTTAGTGTGCTTCACTGATACTCTCTTTTTGCTTTGTTTTTTATAAATTGAGAGTTTATGAAGCCCTTCATTAAACAAGTCTATTGGTGTCATTTTTCTAATGATTTTTCATTAGCATATTTTAGCATAAATTATTAAATTAAGGTACTTTTTCAGACATAATGATACTGTACACTTAACAGACCAATATAGTATAAACAAAACTTTCAAATTACTGGGAAATCAAGAAAGTCCATGTGGCCAGGTGTGGTGGCATACTCCTTTAATCCCAGTGCTCAGGAGGCAGAGGCAGGCAGATCTCTGTGAGGCCAGCCTGGTCTACATAGTGAGTACCAGGCCAGCTGGGGACTGTAAGATCAAAAAAAAGTCTATGGACTTATTTTATTGCCATGTCAGCTCTTTTGCCATGGTCTGGAACTAAATCCTTATCCCCAAAGTATGCCAATATTGGAATTCTCATAAGATTTTTTTTGATATTTTATTATGTTTATTTTATGTGTATGAGTGTATTGCCTGCATGTAGATAAGTGCACCCGTATCGTGCAATGCCCGCGGAGGACAGAAGAGGCCGCTGGATTCCCCTGGAACTGGTGTTACGGACAGTTGTTAGCCGCCATGTGGGTACTGGGATTCGAACCCGGGTCTTCTGCAAGAACAGCCAGTGTTCTTAGCTGCTGAGCCATCTCTCCAGCCCCTTATTTTATTTTTTAAATAAGTTTTCACAGGGCTGGAGAGATGGCTCAGTGGTTAAGAACACTGGCTGTTCTTGTAGAAGACCCGGGTTCGAATCCCAGCACCCACAGGGCGGCTAACAACTGTCCACAACTCCAGTTCCAGGGGCTCTGACAGCCTCTTCTGTCCTCCACAGGCATTGTACGACATAGTGCATTTACCTACATGTAGGCAACACACACATACACATAAAAATAATAAATAATGTGCCAGGCATGGTGACACATGCCTTTAATCCCAGCACTTGGGAGGCAGAGGCAGGCAGATCTCTGTGAGTTCAAGGCCAGCCTTGTCTACATAGTGAGTTCCAGGCTAGCTGGGGCTACAGGGAGACCCTGTCTCAAAAGACCAAATAATAATAATAATAATAATAATAATAAAATTTTAAAAATAAAGTTTTCACTTATAAAGCAGAAAGGCAAATATTCATCTGTGCCAGCTTGTGACTTTGTAAGAAAATGGCTCCAGAAAAGAGAGATCACTTTGCTGAGTGACAGAGCTAAGTAGTAGCAGAGTGGTGGCCAAGCCTCAGACCCCTGTGCCCCTGTGCCCTACTCCCATGTCATCTTGCTATTTTGACAATGGGCACTGAACCTTGGTCAGAATCCCTAGAAGCCAGTTCAGAGCACCTGCCTCATCCCTCTCTTCTCAAGCAACCAAGTAAAAATTTATTAGGTGTGAGAGAAATAGGCCTTGAGTGTGGCCACATCTGCCACATCCATATCAGTATCCTGTGTCCCTATTCCTGCATATTGCTACCAAAATCAGATGGCTTTCAGACCACTGGGACCACTGGGGGAGCCTGATAAGGTGACTGCTGACATGGCTACTTCCCTCCAACTTTAGGGTCCTGGGAAGAGCCCATGTAGCCCAGGGGCAGGGTGGAATAGGTGAACAGCCAGGCAGGTGAACAGCCAGGCAGGTGAATATTGAGCTTCCCTAAGAGGCTTATCAGGGGACCATACATGGGTTGGCTTCCAAAGCGTTCACAGATTATTTTTCTTGAGATGCGCAGAACCTGTCTGTCCTGAAACAAGTGGGACAGGAGAACCAGCTGCCCTGGGCTCAGAAGGCTATCTCTTCTGGCTTTAATGGTGAGTCCTTACTCCTGTGAACTGCCCCAAAGTGACCTCTCGGAGAAATGATCCTCTCACACACAAGGCCCTGCATCTGAACCAGCTTCCCAGGCTGCTTTGGTCTTGACAGTGAAATGGATGTGAGGGCTGTGGACAGGCAGGCAGTGGGCTGAGCAGGTGCTCAAGCTTGGCCTCAAGCTCCAGCACTTCTGGGAACCCCAGACCTGGAGGCCCACAGTCCCACAGAGCTGAGTGATAGCCCAATTTTTGCTTACTGCCAACTCCAGCCAAGAGAGACAGTCAGCAAACTGCCAGCCTGTCTGTGAGAGTTGCTGCCTTGGCTAGTCACAGGTCTTGTCTGTTCTGGACAGAGGATCCATGGGAAATACCAGCTTGTCCCCAGCAACTTTCTCTAGTCCTGGCTGTCACATGCCTGCCACTAGACTTTGCCTCATGCCCCAGCCTGTCACTTATATGCCCACCCATTTCATAACTATGGAGGCCAAGCCCTGGAAAAGCTGATGTAATATTATCCATGTGGCCTCCCCACAGCTCTGGAGCAGATCCTGCAGAGCACAGCTGGGAAGTACTGTGTCGGCGATGAGGTAAGTGTCTCCAGACCTGCCCACTGTAGCCTTCTTCATGCTGACCTCAGGCTGTCATCCCCGCCACGTAGACCCAATCCTCTCCTCCCTGTGAGGGCAAGTGGGACTTAAAGCTTCCTGAGAATACACCAGAAGGGAGACATGGGGCCGGCCTCTTGGTTCAGACCTCTATGCCAGGCATTTGGCTCATAGGAACTCCTTAGCTCACTCCTGTACTGCCTCTGGAAGAGTAGGAGGTGTCCAAGCCAGAAAATCACACTTACGAGATGGTAAAATGGTCCAAGTATCAGCTGAAGGATTAGACTAGCTGTCTTGCTTCCCAACTTAGAGATTCTAAGATTCAAGTGCCCTTGACTCCTTGAGGCTATAGCCTTGAACCCTGTAACTCTGGTTCTAGGGTTCTCTCCCTGCTAGAATCCTCACTAAGTATCTGCTGAATGTGGCTTTAACAAGTACAATAATATGTCAAGGCAGTCAGACGTTCTCTGGCCACCACAGAGTTGGTTATCAGGGGAACTAGAGTGTGGTCTGGGAAAAGCACTGCAGCTTTGAAGGACAGGGACTGGCAGACCCAGGGCCAACAGGGTGTGGGGGTGGTGGGAATAGTGGAAGAGCTGCAGCAGACAGGAAGTTGGAATGGCACCCCAGGGACAGTCACAGTGGACACACCCAGCCTTGCCAGTGAGTCTGGGGTTTCTGCCTTACTGCAAACCCACTTGGCCTTTCAGGTGTCCATGGCTGATCTGTGCTTAGCGCCCCAGGTGGCAAATGCTGAAAGGTAAGAGTTCCTGCCATTCTTCCTCAGTTCCCCTCAAGTCAGGCCTCCCACTTCAGATACTGAGGTAGCATCTCACGCAGACTATTCCCCAACTGCCAAGAAGCCATTGTGCCAGGCCACACAAGCCCTTACCATGCCTACTGTAGCCCAGATGATCCTGTATAGGCAGCCCTTGCTCCTAAGAGGAAGTGACTCATCTAAGGGGACCCCTCACAAGTACCTGCCTGCTTCCCCCAGATGTGGTATGGCTGCTTAGAAATGAGCTCTACTGCCATTTCCCTCCATTGGCTCACCAATATGGCCTGGGTATAGACCTCTCTCTAGAAGGCATCATGCCTAGTATTAGGGATGTATTAGAAATGTATGGCACAGTCTCTTCTCTAAGAAGCTAGTGACTTGGGTGAAGAAAAGTTGTCTATACAAGGCCCTGATGCTGGAATTCATAGAAGGGTCTCAACAGTAATTGCTTAGAGAGGAACAGTAGGTAACCAATGCCAGACTATGCCACTCCAGACCTGCCCATCTCTACACCTGTGAAGGAGACTCCCTAATGTGGCAGAGCTGCTTTCTTGTGCTTTCTCTGCAGCCCCTGGACCGTGCCCAGCCCCGCCTCTCTGCTTCCCTCACTACCTACAGGATAGTCTTCTCCCTGCGTCCCTGAAATTCTTGGCTTACAAGATGTTTCTCTGCCACAGGTTCAAAGTGGATCTCACCCCCTACCCTACCATCAACAACATCAATAAGAGGCTGCTGGCCTTAGAGGCTTTCCAAGTGTCTCACCCCTGCCGACAGCCAGATACACCTGCTGAGATGAGGAATTAGCTCCTAAACCCTGCCCCATTGGTACAGGATAGGAAAAGGGGTGCAGGAGATGTGTGGGCTGACCAGGCCTGGAAAAGAGTGAGTTATAGCAGAAGACTTGAACTCTAGCCCTTAAACTTTACCTGTGAATCTACCTTCCCTTGAACTCTCTGAACATCTGCCTTAATCCTTTCATCTGTCATATATCAGGAGCAGGGGATGGGGGCCAGAAACATTACCTGCTGTGATGGTTAGTCATTACTGTCAGCTTTTCAAACACTAGAATCACCTGAGAGAAGGACCTTTGGGCATGTCTATGAGTGGTTATGCTGAGGTGGGAAGACCCGCCCACTGTGGGTGGCATCATTCTCTAGGCAGAGGATCCTAAACTATATAAGAGTGGAGAAAGCAAGCTGAGCACACTAGCGTTTGTGCAGCCACTGCTCTCTCCTGCCTGTGGATACAGTATGAACAGCTGTTCAAGCTCCTGCTGTCTTGACTTCCCCTCCATGATGGACTGTAACCTGGAACTGTGAGCAAAAATAAACCTTTTCTCCCTTAACTTGCTGTTGTCAGAGCATTTCCATCACAGCAAGAGAAAAGAAACTAAGATACCTACTGTCTAGCTTGGGGCAGTCATAGTGACATGGTGACATGAGGATGCAGATTTAAAATGCATGGCAAGTTTAACAAATGCCACGGGGAAGTATAGACTCCTGCTCATCACCTTTTAGTGAACCTGACTCCAGGAAATGCTTACACTAGAATTTAGTTGTTAGTTGAAGGTAGGCTTTCAGCTTGTTCAGCTAGCATCAAGCTGGGTCCCAGAAGATGAACATTCCTACTAGCTGGATCCCTATGGCAGGTTTGGCTCCTGACACCCAAAGGCAAAGATGAAATAAGCACAAACCCTTCCTGAGAGGACCAGACAACATCCAGGGAGGGAACATATACAAGAAGCAGGAAACTAGTGACCAGCTGGGTTCCCAAGGTTCAAATGGTACTGCTGTTTAGTGTTCACATCAGCACTGAGAGGTTGGTTCATCATGTGCTGCTCTAGTGGGAGCAAGTCTTCATACTTGACACCACTAAGACTGAGGTAGCATCTATAGCAAAAACAAAATGAGCCTTTGTGACCCATACCCAAGATTTCATTTCTCCTGCATTGCTGAAGCTAAAGAGAACTGAGGTCCATATGTCTTGTTCAGAGGACGCCACCTTTCTCAACTTGTGTATCCTTTTTCTCCAACCCAATCTCGGGGTACCTTCTCCTGCCATCCTGAACTCCTTTGTGGCCTCTCCTCTCTTGGATGTCCTGGGTTCCAAGCTCTGACATGACCAGAACAGATTTTGTTCCAGCAAAGCCAAAGTGAAGCAGAGGAGGGCAGATATAGCAGTGACACGGGAGACTCGGGGGTACCACCTGGCCTGCCCTTCTGTCATCTGGAACGTTTTCCTAAATTACTCCAGGTACAGCTGGGATAAAGCTCACTTGGCCTCTCTACAAGAAACTTTTACTTGGTCAATAACTAATCTCAACCCAGAAACCAGGAATTACTACCTCTTGATTTGGGCATCAAAAATTGAAAGTGATTCAAATTCCTGTGGGTTTTAAAGGGACAGTCAGCACAGGGTAAAAGAGGTGGCTGCCACTTCAGGGTATGGTGGTGTGCCTCCTGACCTGGAGAAAGAAAGAGGATGCAGAGGACAGCAGCAGGCCAGGCTCACAGGCTGGGCTGGATGGGAGGGGCTGTTGCCACTACTCTCCCAGATTAAGAAGGGGCTGGTTAGGCCAGGCGTGGTGGCGCACACCTTTAATCCCAGCACTCAGGAGGCAGAGGCAGGGGGCTGGTTCTGTCCTTTAGCAACAGATGCCTTTGTGAGTTCAACTGAGCTGAAAGACATCTAGTATTGCTTAGACAAGTTCTTCACCACATTCCTTTTCCCAGTCCCACCTCCAAGCAGCAAAGAAACAAGAGAGCTGGGTAGAATCCACATCTAGAACAAAGCAGAAGCAGACAATCTGGAACCACTCTCCCTGCCCTGAATGACTCCAGAGTCTGAAAGTGAAGGGACCTGGGATTGCTCCCAGTAAACAGTCAGGTGGCTGTTTTATTCCAGCTACCAGTGGACTTGCTTTTCTCTTCATTCAGCTCACCAACATGCAGGGAACCCTCCCAAGTAACTCCTGAGAGCTGGGAGCCAGGACATGTTGCAGCTATAACCTGGAATGTACTGCTTCCACTTATTCTCCCCATTAACTGACTGGCTCTACCTATTCCACTTGTGTCTATTGACGATCTGCTTCTCTGTTCTAGAAGGCTTTATAGCAGTTGATATATTTAATCTCAGGTCTCCTCTAGACAGCATCAGACTTTGTAACTTAGGGGTCCATCAGCCACCCTAAAACTGGTGGTCATAGTTCTGTGGAGTTAAGGAAAATCTAAGTCAGGTAGAGGTGACACAGCCTCACAATGGTCATTTTACATGCACCTCCCATGGTGCAGGTTCTATAAGTCCAACAGCTTTTTGATGTGTCAGATGTGGTAAGTAGTGAACAAATGCTCTGGCTTTTCCGCAGGAAGCAACAGAGATTCTTGGAGTCCATGTCATTTCTTGGAAGCCTCCAGCATTAGAATTATCTTCAGAGAAACAAAACTAGTAGGTTATATGGAGGTGGGGTCGGTTATCAAGTAGAATTTCCTCACATGACCATGGAAACCAAGAAGTTCCTGTCTACTCTCTACAAGCTGGAGTCTCAGGAAAACTGGTGATGTCATTCAGTCCCAGTCCAAAGCCAATGCCAATTCTGACCCAAGAGCCAAAGAAGATGACATGAGATATCTCAGCCTAGTGAGGCAGGAAAAAATAAAAAGAGTAAATTCCTCCTTCTTCCACTTTTTGCTTTATTCAGATACACAGTGGACTAGATGCTGCCCACTAATACTGGGGAGGCCCACCTACCTTCTTGAGTCTGTCTCACCAGAAGCATCCTCACCTACAGACCCAGGACAATTTCAGTCAGGTGACCCATTCAAGTCAGCACATAACCATTACATCCTCCTTTCTCATCTTGTTTGCACTCAAGTTCAGAGAAACCTATCCTTTCCCACAAAAACAGAAATGTCTCCTAAGCCAAAGAAACCTATCCAGGATCCATTGAGGTGACTTGCCTAGAGAGTGCTAGGGTCCTGCAGGAATCCCACCACCAGCTTTGTGCGCTGCCCAGAAGAGATGATAATCTGGTCCTCAGCTATACTAGTTTTAGGAGGGTAATAATCCTCCTCCTTACTCATGATGTTTCTACAAGGAAACTAGTATTTTACAACCAGAATCTGGGACATAAGAGCTGTGTACCTGGCCCATAGCAACACACAATGGCCCTAAGTCTAGGACCATTAATTGTTCTTGCCTCCTTCACCCCAAACCAAGGACAGACCTCAGTAGCAAGCTCTGCTGGTGTGTCTTCCTGGGTTTCAGATGGGTTGAGGGTCAGAGGACCTAGGAGATGGAATTGAGAGGACCACAGAGAGAAGGCAGGCCTGGGAAAGCCATCACCCACAATCAGCTGAGGAATAAACAGGGAGTTGGGTCAGGCATGGCGGTACACTCCTTTACTCTCAGCACTTGGGAGGCCAACCTGGTCTACATACTGGGTTCCAGGCCAGCCAGGGCTATATAAATAAAGAAGAAGAAAGGAGTGGAGAAGAGGCAGTGGACTGAGTAGAGGTCCTGGCCTCACTGAATGACCACAGCTCAGGAGAAAGGAACAATCTTTGTATTTCTTGAACTGCAGCTGTGAGTCAGCCCTAGGGCCTCCACCAGGGTCCAGGTCACTAATATGGTATACCTCCCTGCTGTTCAGGAATGTAGGGACCTGAAGCTCAGCTGGCTTCAGCCCCACTCCATAGGAAGCTCTGTTTCTCAATTCTCAGAGGCACTTAACTTTGCACTAGGATAGCTTGGCACTTCTATCCCACCTTCCCCGAACGGGAGCAGACAGCCTTCAAACTCCTCTGAGGCTGGACTCCTAACTTACTGGTTATTCCAGCATCAAGCAGTGAGATTAACCTTGCTCCACACACACATTTAATTGGAAGATGTCCTTCCTCTCATCGTCCTGTAATTCATCTTTGTGGGTGGGGAGGCCCTAGAAGATTATGAAGGAATAAGCATTTCCCCAGATGTATAGACTGTTCTCCAGTGGTCAGACTAGATGGCTCCAAGGCTTTGTAATACTTTAAGTTTCCAGAAAGGTTTTTTTTTTTTAATCACCTCCTTTTACAACTCAAGTCTTCAAATAAATTCTTATATTCAGGGTCAAATGTATCACCCAATCCAAGACTTGTGCCACTATAAAAAAAAAATACCTG